CGACCAAGACTGCGACCCCCGGATAGTTAGCATTTGAAACTCCTTTTTAGTTTGTTATCTTTGTCCTAATTTACCTTTTTTTTCTACCCCATTAGCAGCGGTAATTGTTGGCCAAGAGGAAAAAGGATTTATTTGTAATCCCAGCAATGAAAAACTGGATAACTCTCCTTTGGAATTAATTGTTAGTGCCACCGAGGAGAAAATTACCATGCTAGAAGCAGGAGCCCAAGAAATAAGTGAGCAAGAACTAGAAAGAGCCATTTCTTTCGCCCACCAGGAAATTAAATTATTAACCGGCTTTTTTCAGCACATTACTAATAGTTTAGGAGTTAAAAAGGAGAAAAAAGAGGCTAAACCAGAAGAAACTACCAACGATAAATGATTAGAAGAAAAAGGAAATTCCTATTTAGGCGAAATCCTTTTAACAAAAAATCTTACTTGAATAGAAAAAGAGAAAAAAATGAAAGAAGTCCGACAAGAATTAACTAAGGAATATTATGCTAATAATCCCCAGTTTGAGGAAGAATTTGTGAAAGACTTAGTGGAAGAGTTTTGGGATGATTGTTTACGAAACTGAATGCGGAAACTCTGAAAAGAAAAACAAGTGCGACTAGATGGCCGAGGAGCCGACCAAATTCGTCCCTTGGGAATCCAAATCGACTATTTGCCAAACGTTCACGGCAGTGCCGTATTTGCCCGCGGAGAAACCAAAGTTCTCTCTGTAATAACTATTGGCAAAACCAGCGAAAAACAATTAGTTGATAGCATTTTTAATCGTTCCTACAAGCATTTTATCCACCACTACAATTTTCCCTCCTTTGCGGTTAATGAAATTGCTAGTCATCGGACGGTTTCTCGACGCGAAATCGGCCATGGTGAATTAGCAGGAAAAACTTTTGATTATCTAATTCCCTCTCCTACTTCATTTCCCTACACAGTTCGTGCCGTTTCCGAAGTTCTTTCTTCGGATGGTTCTTCTTCTCAGGCCTCGATTTGTGCCACCTCTTTATCCCTCATGACCGCCGGAGTACCACTAATTAGGCCAGCCGCCGGAATCGCCTTGGGCCTGTTTGAAGGCCAGATTTATAGCGATATTAATGGCTTGGAGGATAAATTAGGGGAAATGGACTTTAAAATTGCTGGTACCGAAAAGGGCATTTGTTCTGTACAGTTAGATGTCAAAAACCAAGGAATTAGTCAGGAATTAATAAAAACTAGTCTCGCAAAGGCTCGCCAAGCCCGAATCTATTTATTAGAAGAAATGAAAAAGCATATTCTTCACCCCCGCCCTAATTTGCCAATCCAAGTTATTAAATGCCGCCGCTTTGCGGTGGAAAAAGAAAAAATAGGCTTAGTTATTGGTCCGCGCGGAAAAACTATTAATCAATTGACTGAGGAAACTGGTTCAACCATTGAAGTTCAGCCAGACGGCTTTATCCTTATCTATCACCAAGAAGAAGATAAATTAGAACAAACCTATCGTGCGATTAAAGAGATAATTAAAAGTGGTTTTTAAAATAAGAAGTTTAGGATTGACGTGCAGAGACAGCGGGATTATCAGGAAAGAAAGAAGTTAAAAGTGAGAAAATTTATATTTAAAAATAAAATAATTTATTATATGGTAAACGTCCAGGAGTGATTGGATAAAAATTATCCCGAAGAAAAAAGAAATAAAGCAAAAGAAATTTATCTAAATGAACCAAATTTAAAGGGAGAACTGGATTTAAGTGATTTTACTCGTGCAGATGGCGTAAAAGTATACATTTCTTCCCAAGTAGACGAGACTAATTTAGTTCTGAAAAACCAAGGAGAAAATGTCGAAATTATTTTACAAAATCCCCAAAAATATCTCCAACAAAAATATCCCACTGAAGAAGAGCGAGAAAAAGTAATTGAATTAGATGTTAGTAAAAAAAAACTTGAAGGCGAGTTAGATTTGTCAGATTTCGTAAATTTAGAGGAACTGATTGCAGAGTATAATCAATTAACTAACTTAAAGTTTTCAAAAAATAATAAAAACATAGTTAAAATTGAAGTTTTTGATAATCAATTAACTAGTCTAGAATTTTTAAGGACATTGCCTAGCCCACGAAAGATAAAATGATTAGGTTTTTTTAAAAATCATATCTTTTTAGAGGACTTAGAAATACTAACTCCTTTTATTAATTGTGAAATGCTAAGTATTGGAAAGAATGATATTAGGGGTAACTTAAAGTCTCTGCGCTATTGAGCCAAACTAAAAAGGTTAGATTTAGGCGGAGTATCGAAGCAGATTTCTGGTCTAGAGTATTTAACTCATCAGAATCCTTTTGATGGTGTTAAGGGACCGGCGGGAGAATTCTACCAAGATTATTACCCTAGAAATAAATTAGAGTATGAAAAGTGAAAAAAAGATAATAGAACACTTATTGATAATGCTTATTACGAAACGTTGGATCAATTAAAAAATGAGGATAGCCTTGACCAATTTTTATTAGGAATTAAAAAAGAGTGAAAAGATAAAGGTTTTTCCGATCAAGAGTTTGTTCGGTGGATAGAAGTTGGTTTAAAATTAGATGAGTGAGAATGTGCTAATTGTTTAAGATAAATTGGTTATGATCCCTCGGATGCTATCATCAACTTAGAAGCATTAAAAAAAGAATACCAAGAGTCTGTTAATTACCAAGTTGGTTTTAAAGAAATTAAGCAATTAAAAAGTTTTGAACACTCTTATAATCCTGATTATGAATTGACTTCTGAGCAAAAATTATTGGTTAAAAAGTTAATACCGAATGAAGAATTAAGAGAGAAATATAATGAACAGGGATTATATGGGTTATGTAAGGAGTGTAATCAATATAATCTCAACATGCGATGATGTCAACTTTGTAATTCTCAACGCTTTGCTAGAAATTTTAAAAACTGAACCAGTGGCAACCAAGCCGTTGATGAATTAATTCAAAAATCTCAATTGGAAGCAACTGACTCAGAACATATTTTAGAATGGATTCCTTATGACAGGCTAATTGCTGACCCTAATCCTATTGGTGAAGGTGGTTTTGGGAAAGTGTATAAAGCCGAATGGATTGATGGATATATCGCTGGTTGAAATATTAAAGGTAATGAATGAGAAAGAAGAAAAACCGATTTGGCCGGAACAGTGGTTTTAAAAAGTTTAAATAATTCTCGTGGTGTTACTGCTGAATTTTTGAGGGAAATAACTAATCACAAATTATTTGCTAATATAATGGATGCTCGTTATGGAATTGTACCTTGTTATGGCATTTCCCAAGACCCTCAGACTGGAAACTACTTAATGGTTATGGAATATGTAGAGGGCGGCAATTTGCGGCAATTTTTGAAAAGCAGTTGTCCAGACTTTTGAACTAGGTTCTATCAATTACGAATTATAACTTATGGACTAGAAGATATCCATGAAAAGGGTTTAGTTCATCGGGATTTTCATTTGGGTAATATACTGAGTGGCAAGTTGCACGGAGGTAGAGATAATTGCTATATTACTGATCTTGGACTAAGTAGACCAGTTAACGAGGCAAATGAAAAAAATATTTATGGGGTTCTTCCTTATGTAGCTCCCGAAATATTACAAGGTCAACCTTATACTCAAGCCAGTGATATTTATTCTTGAGGGATAGTAGTTTATGAGTTGTTTTCAGGACTACCTCCTTACATAATCTATGACAAATAAGGAAAATAGTTATGAAGAAGTTGCTTATGATGCCGGATTAGCCTTAGCAACCTGTCGGGGATTGCGGCCAAACTTAGAAGTGGTTAAGGCACCCCAATTATTAAAAGACTTAATTAGTAGATGCTGAGATGCTGACCCCACAAAACGTCCAACCGTTAGCGAGTTAAAAATAGTTATAGATAATTGAGATTATAAAGAGAGTGAAGAATTTAGTTACCAATATCAAGAAGTAGAGAAGTTTGGCAAAAAAACATCTTCCGTTGACCGCTATAAAACCCATCCTCAATCAATTTATACTTCTCGTTTATTAGATTACAAGAACTTACCAAAACCACGGAATAGTAAAGAGATAAATGAACAATTCTATTCTAAATCCTTAGTAATTGACTTTTCAAGTGAAAATAGTTCTTCGGCCCCAGAGCATTCCCAGTCTCTCCAAATGAACTTTGAAAACCCAGAAGAAAATAAAAAAGAGAAAAGACAATTAGAAACCCACCAAGAAATTCCTCCTAAAAAATAAAATTCTGAGAGAAGTTTACTTGGTTTTCTCTTTTAGTTCTAACCCTGATTTTCATCTTTATTCTAGTTAAAATAAATAAGTTAATATTATGACTAAAAAACCCGCGACATCAAAAGGAAGAAAAAGAAACAACCATTAAGAAGAGGAGAGGAATATACTAAAAAGAGATAATTATGCCTATTAAGGAGAAAAAGAAGATTAACCAAACCAACTCATAAATCTAACTTGCTAAAAAATAAACCAAGTAAAAAAAGAAAGTAGTCAAACCCAAAATAACCAAAAAGAAAACTAGTTCAAAAAAGGTTAGGGAGTAACGTATGAAATCATAGGTTCTTAACAACCAAAAAAACAAAATCCTATAAAATATATAGTAAGATGATAGATGATTAAGAAAAAAATTACTTACCATTTTTATCCATTAAAAATTGACATTTAATTTGAGTAGTGTAATAGATATGAAGTTAAGACTAAATAAAACACTAAAATTAAATTAAATGTTGAAACTATAGTGCGTTAATAAATCTGAAAAACTATAAAACTTATACTATATAATAAAATTATAAATATATGGCAAGAAAAGGAAATAATAAACCAATAAGAGAGAGAGAGAGAGAGAGAGAGAGAGCAAACTAACCCTCCTCTCCTCCAAAGTTTCGAAATTATGAATGGCATTTTAAAAGATTGATTTGAAAGCAATAAATTAAGAACAACTGACTTCTTAAAAACTGCTAATTTTAAGGAAGATAAAAAAGGAGTAATTGAAGATTTAGAAGGGGACATCTCTGCCCGAGAAAACAAGGTAAAAATAGAAGAAGAATTAAAAAAAGTTAAGGATTATTCTGAGTGAAAAAAATTTATTAATAAAAATTTTACGGTTAATTTTAAAAAAAAGTATGGGCAGTTGACAAATGAAACAAAAAAAGAGTTGGGAAAACAAAGAAAAGCCTTGTGTGATTACGCTAACATACTCCTTATCTTAATAAGAACTGAGGATAGACTAATAAGTTGTGAGAGTGAAGCAGAAGCGAAAGATTTAAAAAACCATCGAGACTATTTTCAAGAAATCTTAAACTGAGATTCTAAATCTGAAAATTATAAAAATGCTCTAAACTTATCAAAAAATGGTGAAAATTATCGCAAAATAATAACCGATACCATTAACGAGTTAAACGAAAAAATAAAAGGCCGCCGAGAAGAAGCAGAAGTGGAAACAGAAAACCCTCTTAGTGAGGAAGATTTAGGTCATGAAAGTACAGCGGGGGCAGAAAGAAAAAACTTAACTGTTAAAACAAATAATGAACTTTTTCTTAACTATCGTTATACAAGTAGTTCTTTGGAAATAGACGTAGCAGAAGAAGAAGGCGAAATCATTAAAAATACTCAAATCGAACTACCGTGGGAAAGAGGAACAGAAATTTATCATATATCTATTTTTGGCTGAAAAGAGTTTGAAGAGATAGTAGAAAAGTTACGTTTTAGACCTGGCGAAGAAATTAAGGTAGTAATAGCAGAAATAAAAGGTGTTAAAGTTGACAAATGCTTAGTTGAAGACATGGACGCTGAACTTAACCCCGGTAAAAAAAGGTTAAAAATACCAGCCTCGGCTTGTCAAAGTATTGAATTTACCAAGGGAGGAGAAAAATTCTCCTATAATATTCCCGAAGAAATCATTAATGAAGAAGTGAGTGAGACAGTTCCTAGCAGTAGCAGTGATAGTTCAGACCCAGATTTAACAAAGTTGAAAGAATTAAAAGTAAAAGCAACCGAATTTCGTGAAAAAATAATAAATGCCACAGAAATAGAGTTTAACGAAGAAACAATTGGAAAATGATTTCAAGAGGTAGAAAGAATAAAAAGTGAGTCTCAAACTATTCGCTCTAAATTAACAAGCCAAGGCAGGTTTGACGAAACTAAGAAAGCAACAGAGATATGCAACATTTTTGATAATGATAGACAATTTAAAGATAAAAAAAAATATTTCCTCCAAAAAGCCAAAAAGTATTTTATTGAAAAAGTAGAACGTTTAGGGAAAAACGACGAGGAAATTAACAATACTAATTTTGTTAGGAATTATTGTGGTGCTGACTGAAGGGCTGATATCAATGAAACAGAAAATATTGCTGATATTATAAAGCACGTTAATGAATCCTTGATTCCTACCATAGAAACAGAATTAGGAGAAACTTTTTTTGAAACAACTGCTGACGATAGTCCAACCGAAACCATTGAAATTCCCCTGGATACTATTACTGGAACAGGAGTGGCTGGGGTAATTATTAATGATGGTCAAGATGAAAGCATATTTGTAGAAGGCAATATGGCTAATCCGCTAACCGTAGAAATCACTGGAATTGGCGGCAAAGGTAATACTAAATGGATTAGAGGTAAAAACCATTTTGCTCGATATACTATTAAACCAGTGGAAGTAGAAATATCAGACTCGATGGGTAGCACTCGTTTAATTATAATTGATGAAATACTTTTAATTTATAGAGTTGATAACATAGAATTCCCATCAATCACAAAAAAAAATGAGGAAGCAAAAAAACGAGCATTAATGGTTGAAATCCCTAACTTTATTACAGAAGACGAAAGTCGAATATTTGGTAGTGCTAGTGTCAATACAAATATCGGAAAGGACGAAGTTATAGAGGTAGGAGATGAAGTTATAATAGAATTAGCGACAAATAATAAAAAAACAAGCGAAAATAAAGAAGGAGAATATACTGAGTGAAAAAATTGATGTCTGCAAGGCGGAAGTCATGGTGGCAATACTTACGAGTTAGAAGTTTTTGATGATTATAATTTAAAGGTGAAGAAAGAGAACGGAGATTTTATTAATTGTAGGTTTGATACAAATAGTTTAACGTCTCTTATTTCCCAGGCCAAAGCCGCTAGATATAAGAGTCGCGATCTTGAAGGATTTGACGAACTTATAAAAGATATAAAAAAACATAAGGAATTTCTGGAACTTGGCGAGGAAAGACGAATTGAAATCATTAATGAATTAGTAAAAAATGAACGTCCAGAGGTAGTTGCTAAAAAGCACAGTTGAGATTTAAACAGGAAGTTTGATGATAAAGGAGTGAGAAAAGAGTGAGAAACTTATTTGAATAAGTTAAAAAATGAGGAGGAAACTTCTTGACTAGAAAACGACGAAAATGCGGTTATATATCTTTACGAATTATCTGTTAATGGATATTCACCTAGCGATAGTGAAAAACTTTCATTCTCAAAATATGATGGAGCTGTATATGTCTTCTACCGTCCAGAACCAGAAATAGCGATAGGAAATTTTGATACTTCTGAATGAAAAAAGGAGAGAGCAGATATATATTGGCCTTTAAAAAGGGATTATCTCCTCAAAATTGAAAATAATGGGGGAGGCGAACATTGAAAAAAAATAGTTGAGGCTGGAGGAGTGAGTGTTGGAGAAGGAGATGTTATCTTAGAAATTGAAAAACAACTTATTTTATGTGAGGAATTGGATGAAGATAAAGTTAAAAAAACAATTGAAATAATTAAAAAATCTGCTCGGCGAGAACTAGTTTTTTTAAGAACTTCCAACGAAGAAAAATGGCAAAACGATTTAATAACTGAGAAGACACGAGATAAAATCTTTTATGGTGAAGAGGGAAAGTTAAAATTAGAAGACGAAGAAATTAAAGATTGCCGCCAATTATTAACCGATATTCAAACTATTCTCACTAAAAAAGAGGATGATATAAAAAAAGGATTTTTAGCCAGCGAAGAATGGGGGAAGTTGAATAACTCTTTAACTAATGCCTCTGAGGATTTAAAGGAGATTATTAAAGAGACAGATAATAAATTACTAGAAAAGACTTCATTAGCAAGAGAATATTTTGAATACTACGACATTAAGGAGATAAATAACGATAATTTAGCAAAGGCTCAGGAGGTCTATAAAAACCTTAAAACCCAGCACGATTTTGATAAAGATATTAAAAAAGCCGTCTTTGAAAACATTCACGGAGAAAATTGAGAAACTATCCTCACTAATAAATGAAGGAAGGTTAAATTGGCTGACATTTTATGGGATTGGAAAGAAAATGAGAAGTATTTTGAGAATGTTGAAACATTAGGGGAAGAAGCCAAAAAAAAAATTAAAGACTGATGAAAAGATAAGGCCGAAAAGTATAACGATGAGAAATGAACTTGAGCGAAAGATAAAGTTAAAATCACTCAGGAAGACATTAACGAATTAAAAAATGCAGTAGGAGCAAGGCGAGAATGAGAAGTATTGAAGGGAGAACTCAAGAAGTCTAGTATTACCTATGAGAAATTCAATCAAGTTTGGCAGGAGATAAAAGATGGATATCCCGAAGTAATTGGGGATAAAAAAAACCAGCCATGAGTGAAGGAACAAGAAAAAGAACTTTTAAAATTAAAACTTGTTTGACTATTTGAGAAAGCCGAAAAAGAAAGTGATTTGGAAAAGTTAAAAGAATATGTGAAAAGAATTAATTTTTTTTCAAGTAGTTTTGCGAACCGACACAAGGACATCGACGTCCTCAACGTCGCCCTCCACTCCCAAGTTTGAGAGGAAGGAAATACTGGAAATAAACCTGCCCCTACTTTTTCCATTCCGATTTTTGGAGAAATTCCGACGGGAAGTAGTAAAGACGGAATATTAGACATAAAATTAAAAAAATTAACCAAAAGAATAAATGATTTAAAAAACTGAGAACAAGAGGCAGACAAAGGATTAATTGATTTAGAAAATAAAGCCCGCGAAGAAATTTTAACAGAGGACCAGTGAAATGATTTCCAGGAAGAAATTAAGGATTATCCCCCTTGCCGAGAAAAAGAAACGATCAAAGCGACATACTACCGAGGCTTCCATCTAATTTATCGAAAAAAAGAAGCCGTTCAAAAAAAACTTGAACGAATTAAAAAGTTGGCTGAGAAAAACTTCAGCGATTACCAAAAGATCTGGGAAGAAATTGACAAAATTTTGAAGAAGAATATCGAGACCGATTATAACCTGGACCCCTACGATATTCCTGGTTCAGAGGACAGCGAGACAACTCCCATAAATCTTCCGTTTGTCCCAGAGAAAATTAAAAAAGATATTCAAGAGTTAAAAAGATTAATTCCTTCTGAAGGCAACCCAGCAGTGTCATTAAGCGGAGAAACATTATCCGTAGTTCACCAAAAAGTTTTTGCTAAAAATCAGGAACTCATATTAGGCCATTTATTGAAATTAGAAAAGAAAGAATTTTTGGAAGAGTTTGATAATGAATTAACTGAAATGGAAAAAGACGCTGTTAAAGAAGAAACAAAAAGTTCGACACTAGAAAATTTAAAAAAACTCATTCAAAAATGAAAAAAAGATATTTTGCCAGGCCGAAACAAAGAAATTCGGCAAATATGGCAAAATTACTTCCATAACAATTCAACAACTTACTGAAAAAAGGGGGTTGGATTTAAAGATTTACAAACATTAGCCGAAAAGAACTGGGACAAATATTTTAACACAGAAAAAAAATTAAGAGAATTAAAACTTGGTTTTATTTCAAAATATGATTCAGCAACCGGGAAAACAATAAATGTTAAATGTTTGGAAGAAAATTACATAGAGTTCCGAGATTGAGACATTTTTTTTGGCAAACATAGTATTACTAATAAAAAAGATTGAAATGAGTGGAAAAAGTCTATCAAACCAGAAAAAGCAGAAGAATTATTCACAAATGCTTTAACTGCTCTCAAAGATTTTCCGTGAAGCACGGGTTTATCAGATGACGACCTAACCAAAATTAACCAAGCCAAAAATTCGAATGATATTATAAAACAACAAAAAGAAGTTGCTTGAGACCAATTTTTCCGAGCTAATGAAATTACGTCTGAAGACGAAAAAAGGGCTTGAAAGAATACTAGTGGCTTAAAAAATGTAGTCGAAGCACAAAAGGTTTTGGCTAATGGTTGAAAACTTACTGGACTGACTGTTAAAGAAGGGACCTTAGCCAATAAAACAATGAGTTATTTCGCTCATGGTTATAATATACTTGTTGATTTAATTAAGCACCGACAGAAAGATGTGGATAAATATTTAGAATTATTCAACTGAATAGAGGAAGAATTTGACATAAATGAATTACCAACCGATAAAGATATTGTTTTTGATAATAGTGCGACTCCAGACGGTGCCACAACGAACGTGATTAAAAAAAAGAGAGATGATAAAAAATTAGAATTATTCACAAATGTTTTCGAAGGAACCATACCAAGCGGAATTACTGAAAACACCCATTACGAGGCTTGATTAAAGACTGGTTTAGACCAAGTTGAGGAAATTATTGAGGGTTATGTGCCAGGGGAAACAGAAAGAAAACGTTTATGATTTAGGTTGAAAGGAACCCGACCAAATTAAAAATGGTTATACTAATTATCAGGAAGAAATACTTCGTGGTGAAAAAAGAATAAAAGTTGAGTGAAACAATGTTCTGGTATGAAAAGTTGACCGCAAACAATTAGAACTGATTTTGGATTTAAAAGATGATGTTGAACGACAAGCAAATACTCAGGAATTAGACAATATTGTTGCCAATCGTATTGTTCCAAACTTTAATAATTTAGAAAATGATTTACTACCTGACAATTTAAAAAGTAGTGATTTATTTAAAATTTTGGATGATAGGTACCGAAATTTGAAAGAGCAAGAGTTTAAGAGTGATTTCCGAAAAGAAAAAGATGCCGGACTGGCTACTGACGAGGAAATTAAATCTTATTTTGAACTTAAATTTGATAAAGATACTCCTCCCTATTGACATTTAACATTTTCCGAAAAAGATGCCGCTGAACTCTTTAAAAATGGTTGAAAGGACGTGAAGGAGTTAAACGTTGACCCTGTTGGAAAGATTACTGCGAAAATTAGAGGTAAAATATGCTTTAAACCACTAGAAGATAAAAGAGAGAAATTTGAAGAATGAGTTTGAGTTGCAGAATTTTGAAACGGTGATTACAATTCATTGGGAGATGATAAAACACTAGAATTCCGAAAATCGTCCCTCGCTGCTCCGGCTGCCACTGCTCGGCAAGTTTGCGAAAGAAATTGAACCCCAAAACAATTTGATTGAAAAGGAATGAAGGCCATTGTCCCTACTTATACTTCTCATGGTCAAACTGATACTAATTTGGACGCAACCGTAATTGACCGAGAAGAATTAGATAAAGTGAATGAAATATTATATGATATAGAGAAAGCAACTAATTTGAACGATTTACCTCTTGAGAAAGAAATAATTCGTTATGAACAAAAATGAGTGCCAGATCATAAAAATCATGACCGAGTTAAAACTTTATGAAAAGATAAAAAGAAACAATTAGAAAAAGCCACCGCGGACCAGAAGACTCGCACCACTGCCATTCAAGTCGTTAATGATTGGTGAAATAGATTAGGAATGAGTGGAGGCATAGAAGCAGTTTGCGGAAATGATTGAAAAAAGAAATTTGGCAGTCTCCAAGGAACTGACATTACTACTGAAGAAAATCGACTCAAAAATTTAATTAGTCAAGCCAAAGTTAAACCGGATATTGAATCAATTGAAAGCGAATTAAACAAAAAGCCAGTTATTGCGGCTAGTGAATTGAAAAATTCGGATTATAAAGGTGAAATTGTTGGTCTAGTCACTGATGACGCACAAAGAAATAGTAAAAAAAATGATGTAATTACAGAAATTACCCAAATTAGAGAAAATAAATTAGGCAAAGTTCGGCAATTAATTACCAACGCTCAAACTGTTAAAGATAAAGAAGAGGCAACTAAAGAAGAGTTAGAAAGTGCGATTAATGACTTAAAAACTCTCGCTAATGCTTCAAGTGATAGTGTTGAACAAATAATCTGAGAGGA